AACCTCCTAATATCTGGCTCTGAAGTTAATTTTATTCCACCCTTGGTGCTTGGAGTTTGACTTAGTTAGTTGTTTACTTTGGTCCAACAGGTTTCTCGATCAAGTAAAACCAGTCGCGGGGATTCACTGGAGGCGTCCAGACACGCTAGGCTCCCACCCCAGATGGCAGGGGCCTGGCCAGAAGCTGAGCCCAGTCAGCTTACTGCAGGCTGGACCTCGCCAGTGGCTTCGGTCAGGGTCAGGCGGTAGACTTGGGATGGGAACTTAAAATCTGATCCTCTCTCTGCTGCTCAGTGGGGCGCTCTGATTGTAGTTTAACCTGAGGAAGGGAGACTGAGGAGTATAAAGGAATTTGCAAATACAAAGCCCATCTGGAATACTTCCCTTTAACTTTTGTTCTGTTTCTTTGTGAGGGAAATGCAGGATTCTGTTGTAGAAAGCTAGCAAGAACTCATTGACATCCTAAAGAGCAGGATCACAGTTATGTATCAAAACTTTAGAAAGCGTCCATTGGATGCACCCTGCCTACAACAAAACTCCTTCCCAGGTACTTCGGCTCTTCAGAAAGCCTGCCGGGCTTCATTCAAATTGATGGAGAAGGTCCATTTCACACCTTGAAAGAGTGAGTGCATCCAAACTTACTTTCAATTCACATTTTTGAAAAAACCGTGCTGTTTGGGAGGTTTCTGACCAGTCACGCAGCATGTAATCCCCAAAGGGCAACTGGCACTTTGATGAACTTTAAAAATCGCAACATCTCTAACATCTCTCTCTCTCTCTCTCTTTAATTTAGCAATTTCAGAAATGATGGTCCCTTGTGTAGGGACCAAGATTATTTGAAATCTGGTTAATGGAAGCAGATCAGTTGTGAGGGTGACTGGCTTACCATTAGAGAGCAAACATTGAGGAAATGACATCAAACTGCTGCACCATAATGAGCACTCAAATGACAATGGAAAACAGCTCCTTGGAAAGATGCTGGTTTGTCACCATCTCCTTGCCCACTTGGAGTCCCATCCCCTCACAAAGATGGCAGGCCCGGAGATGCTGGCAAGTGTGAGCACTCTTAGGAAGCCATCCTCCTTGAGGAATATATGTTCCTTTCATTTTGCACAATCCTTAATGTTGAACACATGGTCTATGGAAGTAAACTTAAATGCCTTACTCTTTAATGGGAAAGGAGTCAGATTCAAATACTAAATGGTAGAAACCAAAGAGACCAAGCTTTGTGATCACCAAGATGGCCGAACTGTGTACCCTACTCGGTTGCTTATTGGCCACATGACTTTGGGCAAATTAGTCCATATGACAAGGACAGGGAAAACAGCCTGACCAGTCTAACTATGAGTCATCACATATTAAAAACAGGGAGGCCAGAGGCCATGACCCTGACCACCCAGGACCTTGCCAAATAAAGACACAGTTGGGGCCAAGCCAACCAGGGGCCACTGCCTTTTTTAAACAAACCATCTCTGTGAACTCAAGGGCCCGTGCCAGACAAAAAAAGCCTGCGAGCTCTGGGCTGTGTGTCACTGCTTTTGCCCTTTCCAAAGTGCACACCCGCTGGGGGCCTTTCCTCAGTGTATCTTGACTTTACTGCTTAGTAAACCTACTGCACTGCCTCCTCCTACCTGTTTGTTCCATTTCTGTGTTGCCACCACAACAGCACTCATGGGGAAGACGCGGCACTGAGATCCACTCCCCCGGAAAGAGGTCCCCGACCCCTAACACATGTCTATGCCTTGGTTTTCTCATAACGTGAGAAGAACACAAACTCTCCCTAAGTTTCTTCAGAGGACTGAATTAGGTAATTCTTCCAGGGCACTTGGAAAAGTGTCAGATATGGGAAAAGGGCTCATAAAAGATTATTCTTATTATATAGGAGAAGCATTTAGCTCAGAAAAGTTGACTTTGGTGGCATATGACTATGGCACAAGGACTACATCAAAATATCAGGGGTCTGTCACAGACTATAAACAATTACCTCATTGAGTGCTGACATCAACCGTAGGAAGTGATCAGGACTGGGCCACTAGAAAGTGGTCAGGGCAGGATTTGAGCTCATGTCTGACAATGGAACTGTACTGCTTATATAGGAAATCTCAGGCCTGCCCAATGGAAGGACCTAGAAATGCGCTAATGTCATAAGCCAGACTTACTGTGTCTTAGTTACGTAGTTATGTAGCAACAAACGTATCACAAGTGTGTGACTTAAAAGAACAAGGATGTATTGTCTCTTAGTTTGGGAGGCGGAGCGTCCACATTGTCACCTTTTGACAGCTCTGGGTGTTTTTTGGCCTCTCTTAGACTACAAATGGATCTACACACGGTCATTCCCCCCTGTGTGTGTCTCTGATCCCTTTTGAAAGGTGCCATTCCAAAAGGATTAGGTCGAGGACTCATCTTGCTCCAGTAAAAACCTCATGCATGTAGTAAAAGAAAAGCTGTCTTCCCAAATAGGGTGCATTCACAGGTACAGGAAGCAGGACTGCAACTTACCTTGTAGGAGCGCTAATTCTGTTCCTAATGTGTGGACTCAAACTGTGCATTTCCCTCATCCCTTGCTGCATTTGCTGTTTGTGTAACTGGTCACTAAGCTTCATTCCTGATAAGCACCTTGAAAACCTTCCTTTCTTCATTCTTTCATTAAATATATATGGGGGAGGGTCACTGTCTTGGGTACTAGGGATTCAGCAGTGAACACAATAGGGGGAACACCCTCCTGAAGCTTGGAAACAGGAAGGGAATATGGACACATAAGCACTTACAGTGACAATCCCTAAGTGGGTCGGCAAGGGAAGTTCTGGGAGCAACAATAAAACTTCACAGGGCAATCAAGCCTGGTCTATAAATCAGGGAACAATAGTCCCGAAAACACACACAGCACGTGCGGCCAGAGGATTATCTGGGACTGGACTTAGAAAGAAAGAAATAACTTCAGGATAGGAACAATGGGGTGTGTGATAGCCCACAGGTTTGAGGAGAACCGAGCATCTTTGAAGAACTGAAAGAAATTGATGATAAAAAATGATGAAATGCAAGAGGTAGTATGGTAAGAGATGGGCAAGGGCCTTATTGTCATAAACCTTAACACCTAAAGTTTGAAGTACCAATTTTAAATAGGGGAGATGCATTATCCAATTTACTATTTAAATAGTCACTGTAGTACAACGAAGAACCTGAAGTTGAAGAAGATGAAAACAAGCCAGAAAGAGTCAAAAGACAGCCTTGAGTAAATCCTACCCCAATGTCAAGAACAACTCAAGTACAGATTTGCTGCATTGAACACAAATGACAGAAGACATGATGACCCATGGAAGGGCATCAGAACACCACACATGAGGAAAGCAACGGGTCTTTAAAAAGACAAGAAAGAAAGAAGAGGTTAAAGTGGATGTCAGAAGAGACCCAGAAGCAAATGGAAAAGTGATGAAGTCCAAGAACTAATAGAAAATTGCAGAGGGCAGCTCGAGAAGACACCAAATATTGTAATGGAATGTGGGAAGGGCTAGAGTTAGAAATGGAAGAACATTGCGCTAGTCTAGGTTGATTAGAGAAACAAATTCATAGACACTCACATGTGTGTAAGAAAGAACTTTATATAAAGAGTAATTATACATTAAGACAACATCCCAGCCCAGTGAAAATCAAGTCCCTAAGTCTGATATTAGCCCCATTTGTCCAGTACCAGTCTGTAAATTCCTCTTCAGACTCACACAACACATGCAATGACGCCGTGTGCAGGAAGATTACAGGCCAGTGGGTGGACAGTCTTGTGGATCCATTGGCAGTGGAAGCATCTTAGCACTGGCATGGGTCTCCATGTGGCTCCTCCAGTTCCAAGGCTCTGGCTACCATCAGCATAGCTCCATGTAGCTTGTCAACAGGAATGTCTCCTAGGGAGTGAGCGCGTGCCCTACCTCCAATGAGCTATTTATCTCTTTAGCACCTCC